TTTACAGAGAAAAATGATTTGCCTCTAAATTATTTTATTGGGAATTGTAATTAATCGTGTTTGATTGATATAATTTTTCATGGAAAATATTGAAAGTTTGGTGTTCGTTTGGCTTCTTTTTATGAAAATTGTCCATTAAAGTGATAATTTTTTCTACCATTGAGTCAATAATTTGTTTCAATTGCCAAAAAAGAAAAAAATTGTCATACAGAATATCATTCATTTGGCTTGTTTTATATGAAAATTGTCAATAAAAGTGATAATTTTTTTTACCATTATATCTAGACTTTTTCCAATTGTAAAAAAAAAAAAAAGGAAATTTTTTTCAAGAATTTATTTTCCTCAAAAATGTGGAAAATGAGAAAATGTGAAAAAAAATTTCCAGGGAAAATTTTGCTATCAAACACTACAAAAGTTGGAAAATTGATTTTTTTTTTTTTCCACTTTCTATGGAAAATATGACGAATAAAACGGAGCCTTAATGTTCGATTTTTTTTTTCGTGACTCTACCGCTATTAAAAATACTATTTAATTAAGTAAATACGTACCGTTTCTAAGTGTTTAAGCTTCCCATGGCATGTGGTTAACATAACCCGTTCTTGGCTAACATAGTGCTACACAATCATTTTTTAACTAACATCTTTATCTACTACTAGAAGTTGATGAAAGTGGATTTGCATGTCCATTGAACCACTATTAATTTATATCACCAAGTAGTAATTTCCATGCAAACTAAAATATATTATATATAAATACCAGTTTACCTAATTAAAAGAAAAAAATTATTAATCTACATTCAAAATTTCAATTTTCAAAAACTGGATCTTAAACCATAGATTAGATCCTTACCTGCCCCTCAGCAATCCAAATCCAATCTCATAAACAAATTACCAGAAACGGTGATGTCTATACATAATAAACATTAAAATTTCAAATATTGATCTAACTTATTATTTACATTAAATTTTCAAATGTGAATCTAACTTAATCTTAAAAAAAATTAATTTAAGAATTGACAACCAACCAAAAGACAGATCAAAGGGATGTTCACCTGCCCCTCAGCATACAAAATCCCAGTTTTTATAAATCTAATTTCCATAATTGAACATGTTTTGCAAATTGATAAGTCAATCTAAGTTCAAATCCTATTATAATATCCTGTTTATACCTAATCAGATCAATGTCTGATCTAGAGCT